TAGCACCAGTGGCTGGACAGCTAATTGTTTGCTCAGCAGAAAATGTCACATCAGTCCTCATCAGAAATGGCCAAATCAAAGCATTTCTGGCTGTGCCACATCTGGTCCTGGTGCTTGGATAACTGAAAAGGGCAGGAGCTATAATTTGTAAGTTGCTGCATCCTCCTCTTCATTCCTTAGTCCCTGATTTCAACCTGCAGCAACTCACAGGAAGAGGAGCTCCTGAGTCAGTGACTATGATCTCTAGGTAAGCTTGAACCCTGCCATATCTCAGGTAAGCACTTTCTAGAAGAAAGTGGGAGGAAGATATCAGAACAAAGCAGCGAGATCTCTCATTTCAAAGTCATACTTGGGTTTCTCTTTTCTCCTCCTTCTAAAAGGGGCTCCTAAATTTTGTAAACACAGAATATATGAAGCTGCATTATACCCATTTAGACCACTAGTCCATCTCAGATTGTCTATTCTGATCACAACCGGCTCTCCTAAATCTCAGGCAGACATCCTGCTAACTGAGAATCCTTTGAGTGGAAAACCTAGAGACTGGATTTAAGACCTTCTGCACACAACACCCCATCATTACATGCTGGTCCGTGTTATTCATGGATTTGAGCACCAGGGTTGATGTAGAGATGGGCCAATCAACTCTGAAACTAATGCAGCTGAAAGTATCTCCTATGTGACTAAGAGCACAAAGCCAGAGCTAGGTTCAGATTAATGGCCAAGGAATGTGACTGTGCCAATTCCTGAAAAGCCAGCCAAAGCCCAACGTCAGTTCCTGAGAGAAGAGTTTGCTGAACTTTTCTGGAAATGTTCCAGCACACTTACTTGATTAGCTTGCTGATCAGGCAACCTCCACTTGCACTCCTGAAGGGACACGGTGTGTGAGGGTGTTTGTTACGAAATCCAGATGGTTAATTTTATTAACAGTAATAATGAGCTCTTCCCTCCAGAGCCAAGAGTAATTTGTCCTGCACATGTCATTTGGTGCTTCCACTGCAAATGAGGGCAGGGATACCCTTTGTTGGTCGTAAGTGGGGGGAGGCAGGGCAGAGGACAAAAAGCCTATCACTTTTAAAAAAGAAAATTATACAAATACAGGATAGTGAAATGGGGGGAGGGGAGAAAGTCCACCTTCAGTATGCCTAAAAGTCCTGGTACAGTGGAGTAGAATTACCAGAATTCTGGCAGTAGAATTGCCAGGGAAAAAATGCCCTGCCCTTTTAACAGAGGCTTAATGGGATACTATTAACCAGGTGATGTTATGTACCTCTGTGCCATTAAAAGCTTCAACTACCCATTTCCACAGATTAAAACGCTGCTCAAGGGGTAAAGCATTTTTTTTTTTTGCTCCAGGTTGTTGGCAACCATAGTAATGGTTTATCATGCAGGTTTGTGCATTGGGGCAACAGGACTTGTTCCCATACTAAGTGCATGTTAAGGTTTAGATGGAAAATCCAAACTGCAAGCCCTTCCCACATTAACCTCAGACATGATCTCCCAATGGTTCCATTGTGCAAACCTCACTGAAATGAATGGTAGCTGTACGACGGTGCAAACGCAAGCGGAGTTATATAGCACTTAGAAGGGTATAAACTCTCTCTGAGACTGTACCGCAAGAGTGCTATCGTACTCTTTATATCCAGAATTAGAATTAAAGTTGTGTCTAGATCTCTGTGTTGCAGTTCTTTATTCCACATTTAGACCAATTCTGCAAAAGCAATTGTTCTGCCCTCGGCCTCTTGTTTCCCCCGGCTGTATCACTCAATTTCCCACTATTCCCCCACCCCCCCCCCCCCGATTTCCCCCATGTCTTCTTGATCCTGAAAAATAAGGATCAAGAAAACGTGGGGGAAATTGGGGGGAGATGCGGGTCAAAATGTGGCTGCATAGCAAATAGTGGGGAACTGAGCAGTACAGCCAGGGGAAATGGGAGACAGAGGGCAGAACAACTGCTTTTGCGGAATTGGTCTCAGTGTTCCCCAAATATGCAGTTGGGAGATTCTGTGACTGGTGAAAAGTTAGTCAGAGCCGTGGCAAATTTGCATAGAGAATGTATTCAATTGCATTCTCAGTTCTGGTTGCAGGATTCCCCCTCCCCTCACTGCCTTTCAGATTTTGAGCTACCTTCTCCTCCACAGGAAGAGGTATATTTCTCCTGTATACTCCTGTTCTGATTAAGCTTTCATATTTCATGATCTTCATGAATTGCTGGTTGCATTTCTGAGGGCTGAACTACACCAAGAGACCACCTGCCATATTTCGTATGTTAATGAAGCAACTGCAAGGAGGTGGGGATTTGGATTGGAACAACGGCATAACAAGAAAGGGGGTTAACACTTCCACTGTCCTAATAGAAATCAGCCCTTCCTTCAAGATGCTATTCGTTTCTGTATGAGGAAAAGGCAGGTACCATACTGATGCCTGTCTTTTTTCTTTTTTGTTTCTAGCGAGGCTAACATCAGCTTCCTATCAGGAAAATGGTGTAGAATGGGAAGGATTAACCAAGCCCCTTGTTCCTGCCACTCTTACACACATACCGTAGCTCCAAATAGACCAACCAAGCAGGGGTCGTTTCCTAGAAAAAGAGCTAGGGGAACTCATTAGCATAACTCATTAGCATATGCCACACCCCCTGACATCACCGGAAGTGTGTCATAAGGCCACACACCCTGCCCCCAACGGTCCCGGCCGCCGCCAGCCTTGCAGCTCCACTGCCGAGCCCCATGAGGGGCCTGGCGGTGGACCTGCAAGGCCAGCGGGAGTGCAAGGAAGCCCCGCAAAGGCCCTCCCTGGCCCCAGGCAGGCAGGGGTGGGGAGAGGCAGGGAGGAAGCAACTTACCCTCCCTCTTCTCCTGCCTCCTCCTGGCTGAATGAGGGCCGGAAGCAGGGGGCGGGGCTTCATCATGTGCCCCACCCCCCGTACCTCACCCGGGGGAACTGCGATCCCCCGCGATCCCCCCGGAAATGACCTCTGCTTCCAAGACTTCCTATGTAGGACACAGTTGAAGAAGAAGGAGGAGGAGGAGAAGGAGGAGGTTTTATACCCCGCCCTTCACTCAGAGCGGCTTACAAGCTCCTTCGTTTCCTTTCCCCACAACAGACACCCTGTGAGGTAGGTGGGGCTGAGAGAGCATTTAGAGAACAGCTCTGAGAGAACTATGACTGACCCAAGGTCACTCAGTTGGCTGCATGTGGAAGACTGGGGAATCAAACCCGGTTCTCCAGATAAGAGTCCGCCGCTCTTAACCACTACACTAAATTGGCTCTCAGCACTAAGTTCACCAGTTTTACATTTATGGAATCTAAAACCCCAATTAAAAACAAATTTAAGTGAAAATGCAAATTGATGAGATGGAAATAAAATATGGATGGTGAACACATCTACATATATTTGATTAATTTGCAAAGTTAACTCTGGCTGATTTTGGTAACAAGGAATATTGTGCCAGTTCAGGGTCCAGAAGGCGATTGCTGAAAGATTGCTGGGGCTCATGACAAATGGGGAATAAGCATGTAGACACAAAGAAGGGTCTGGGGAAAGCAGGAAGTGTAGCTAAGTGTGGCACCAAGCCAGAAGACCCAACCAAAAGTCTCAACCATCCAGGTTGCTTTCTAAATTTTGGACAGTTTGGTTATGCTTTCTGCTTCTTCCTAGCAACCATGAGATCCAGAAACCTGATTTTGTTCTAAAGCAGAATTTGAAATCATCTAACAATATGCAAGCAGTATCATATTTTGTGTTAAAGGCCTTCTGCTAAGAATCATGGTGCTATTACACTGAGAACCACTTAAATAACAAATAAAAAAGTAAAGCCTTAAAAAGAAAGCAGAATGATATCAGATGTATTTTTTTTCTTTGAGGCACTGTTAATTTTTGGAAAAACAATACTAGCGGGGGGAAGGGACAGCCGCATTAAGGCACGCACTCCAATCTAAACTGTGGCTCGTCATAATCTTACACATACCAACAAAAGAACTGGACAAAAAGGAAACAAATTGGAAAACAAGAAACTAATATACTTTGAATCTAAAAATCTACTAAAAACAAATTCCGAAAGTCCTTCCTGCAAAAAACAAAAAAGACGCACAAAAAGATTATACACAAATATGGCAATTCTGCCTCTTGGGAAAAGGACCAGACACACAGCAGAGTTAAAGCACTGTTAAAATAACACAGTAACTAGAAATATTTCATTAGATTACATTATTAAGTAAATAACTAGAGCAGGGATTGGCAACAGGAAACAATGGACCAGACCCAGCCCTCATGGACATTTTTTCTGGCTTCCCTGGCAGTACTATCAAAGTTTAGTCAAGGTGTGGCAAAAAAAAATTAAAAAAGAAGAATTTGACCCATTTCATTCATCAGAAGAAGAAATATTTACAAGTTATGAGAAATATTCCACACCTTTAATGTGACATATCTCTTTTGGATTTTGTATGCATCCTGCAAAGGTACATAAGCTCTGTCACTCTGAAGCTGTTCATGCTACATGGTGCCAACTTCATTTCAGAGCCTGCCTGCTTTGGGGCAGTGTGTGTGTGTGTGTGTGTGTCAGTTTGTACAGTAAAATATACTTCTGTTTCTTCTGGATCAACCTCAGAAGGGAGGGGGCACTCCTCATCTATAATATGAAACTTTCTTTGCCCCATATTGTCATGCTGACAGGCAGCTCCTGTTACTTTCTGTCACCCCACCTCCTGCCTTTGCAATGTTCCTTCCAGGAGGCAGGACAGGAAACCCAAGTCAAGCAGCCCAAGTCAAGCCCACAACTCAGCAGCTGTCACTCTCACTCCCTTCCCCCAATCACCACCCCCTTTCTGAACTCCCTCTCCTACTACTCAATAATTTGTTCCAGAGGTGAGCATATATAGATCTCTGTGCACCTCTCAGACAACCTCCTTCTGCTGTAATGCAAGGATTTACAGCTGCAGTAGGAGCCCAACTCTGCATCTGAAAGGAACAAAACAGAATAATTGACCACCCTTCTAAAGCTACACATGGGGATATTCCATAAGAACAAAGCATCTGCTCTTCTTTGGGCTCCTTCCTCCAGAATTATTTTTAGGTGGCGGGCCAGTGGAGGGGCCATTGCCCTCCCAAATCCAATATGATCAACATTTCTTTGCCAGGGGTCACTCAACTCACCCCTGTCTTGGCTTGTGTGGCAGGAGGAAGATCTCTCCACCTGTCTCATTCCTCCTCAAACTTAATGCTCCCTTCTTTCGAGTACCCCATTACTCCCAAAGGAGACAGGGACTGTCCCTTTAAGAATTGCTGTAACGATGCTGGCCTTCACTGGATGATCTGGCATCAGTCCCTACTGCTGTCCCAACATCTAGGTGTCTAAGATTAAGGTGGGTTCAAGATAAAATTTTACCAACTAAGGCAGAAAGTGCAAATAGCACTCTCCTTTCATTAATGAACATGGTCATCACAAGCTACCACAAAATTCCCTTATACAAGACTCACTGAAAGGAATGGGAGTTCATGTTCAGCTCCTGCTCATAATAGGCCCTACTGTCATCTCACTTCACAGAACTGCACATGTGAGTACAATTGCGATTTTGGGGACCTCCTCTTATATGTGTGAATGCGTTCTGATGTTCCAAGCTACACCTGGGCCAATATGGTTTGGTTTCTCCACGAATGTTTCCATCAGCCATTTTTTTGGCACTGCTCACTAAAAAAATCCCCCCAAACTTGTCTTTACTCATTTCCAGTGACATCAAACATCCATATTCCATTGGCTATGTTGGATTGCAATGACATACCATCGATTGCATGATCTCTGATTGGGTGAGATCATTCATGTGACTTACAGAGAAAGGAAGATACATGGGCATCTTATAAACAACTGGGGCAGGAAAGATGAATATTCACACAATTGGAGTGATTTTTGCCTCACTGAAAATGCTGGTTTCTACCAGAGAACTGGATAACTATCAGTGCAGGTCTATTCAAATCCCAGGACAGCCATGTTAGTCTTCTGCAGCCAAAACAACACAAGATCCATTGAAGTGCCTTAATATACTAGTGAATTTATTGTGGCAGAGGTTTTCATGAGCTAGAGCTTGCTTAGTCACACTTCATACATCAGACCAAGTAGTATGTGGTTCACAGAAGCCTCTGCCACAATAAATCCACTGACCTTCAGGTGCCACAAGACTTTTGTTATTCTATGTGAAAAGTCGGTTTCCATACGACCTCAGATGCCAAGATAGTAAACCCCAAGCCTACCTACATACCTTTGCACAGTCTCTTATGGGGATGTAACTGGGGCCAGGAAAGGGGAGGCGCAGGAAACAGGAAGATCTACAAACACAAAGAGAAAGAAACACAACAGATTTAAGGGAGAGTGTCCACTATGGCAGAAGGAGCCAAAATGTATGGGTCACCAAGTCAAGATCTGTGCAAGTTCAGGGCCAGCAAGAAGTTCCAAATCTGGCAGCAACCAATCATTTGAAGACCGACTGGAATGTAGGACACTCAGGGGTTTTCATTTTCTTCATGAATTTTTTAAACTCTTTGTTCTTCTTATCCCACTTATGAATAGCCGTCAGCAGGTACTGGGTCTTCACCTTGCGCCCCATGATGAGAAAGTTGTTGTTCAGGTTGTCCAGCTGGTGGCAAGGGCAGTCTGCGCCGTTCTTTAAGTACAGCACCAACTTCTTCAGGTCTTTCTTTTTGATGGTGCCCAGCTTCAAAGGCTTCTTCTTCTTCGGGATGATTTTCTTGTCTCCATTTTCTTTTTTTACCTCCTTTATTTTCATCTTTAAAGCTGGAAGACAACAAAAAGAGAAACCCCAAATGGATGAAACTGTTGTTAGTTTCTGGAAGGAAAATTTGGGACATGTTACTAACAATCGTATCCTAACCAGAGTTACACTCTTCATTGAAGTCAATGGGCTCAGAAGGGTGTAGCTGAGTTTAGGGCTGCTTTGCAAAAGACCCCACCCCGCCCCCCACTTTCAAGAATTAAAAATCGGGTCTCTACATAAATATGTGGGTGCATGTGAGTGAATGAGTGAAAGCTTTGTTGTGTTTTTTTTAATAACCTGCTTTAAAATGAAACTTGCATTTTATTTAACAAGAATGCCAAAGTCTATACTCATAACTTAAAACTTGAATTAATCACTTTTTATCAAATACAGTAAATTAAAGCCAATTGTTTTCTATGTAAAAAGGCCAAAAATAGCTGACTTTTGAATTGAAACATTGTAAATATAACTCAAGAGGTCTTGCATTGCATTTATTACTCCACAAATTATGAATATTTATGACATCAACCAAAAGGCTTCTGCGCTTTTTATCTCATGGGAAAATACAGTTCTGCTCAGCAATCGCCTGCTCTCACTTGCAAAAAGTTCTCAGCTATTCATCCCAGCTAGGTTTTGCATACTGGGTTGCATCCAGTGATCTGTCAGCACAAGGTACTGATGGTCATGGATCTTCCCTGCATTTTCCTCCCCTCAACAGCCCTTTCTGACTCTCAGAAAGTTTATCCCAATTTGCAGAAACCACATACAGCAAGTCAGGAGGCTGTTGAGTAGGGTTGTCAGGTCTCCCCTGGCTACTGGTGGGGGATGGAGGTTGCCAGATCTAGGTTGGGAAACTCCTGGAGATTTGGGGATGGAGCCTGGAGAGGACAGGGTACCATGCCATAGAACCCACCCTCCAAAGCATCCATTTTCTCCAGGGGAACTGATCTTTGTAGTCTGCAGATGAGCTGTAATTCCAGGGGATCATCAGGTCTCACCTGGTGGTTGGCATCCCTACTGTGGAGAGGAGGGGGAAAGAAACAAAATCACCCCATATGCTTCTGCCATTGGTGCTGTTCCACCAACGGAAAAGAGAGGAGAGATTTTCCCCTTTCACCAGTGCAGTCTCTCTCTCTCCACTCTGTAGATGGGGGTCCTGCATTCTTGAGAATTCATGGATCCCCCCCAGTCTTTACACCTTACACCATTAATTTAACTGTTGCACCTTCCCCTTTGTCCCTAACCCCATATAGTGGGCAGCTCAAAAGGCTTTGTGGGTTTATGAGCAAAGATTTTAAATTATGCTCCTCAGTAGCATTTAGTTGCAAACCAATAGGTTTGAACTGGTACAGCAACCAAATATGATGTTCTTTTGGCCAGCAAGGCAGCTGGAAGATGCTGGAAGATGCAGATGCTCCATGACTGACACATAATGGTGAACACACATATCCAGAGGATCACACATAAGCATGCTGTTCCAGTATGCGAGGCAGGAACACTAAACAACTGAAAAGGGCTTCTCTCCATTTCAGATCCTTAGTTCCACACTCTTCAGAAACCAAACCTATCATACATAGCCTATGCCCCGTCCCCTGCCTTCCCTTGGCTATCTTCCCCCTATCAAAAAGTAGATTGTAAGCACCTCAGGGCAGGGATCTGTCTTCACTGCTGCTTGGGCTCTGTACAGCGTTGCATACTTCAGCAGTGCTGCATGACACATAAATGATAACAACAAGGAAAAGACAACAGATTCTTGCTTTGTATTTGGAGCATCCACAAGCTGAAAAATCCTCCTGAAAGACATTAGCATTGGGGGCCATATGTGCTTGATCAAGAAAGGAGCCAAGTGGCACAGAAAGGGATCTTTTAATGCGCAACACATTGTCGTCATTTTATCCCATAAACTGAATTCCACTGTACAGCCACCACAAAAGGAACATTAACTTGGGACTGAAGCTGCAATCAATAACTTGGGGAAAGTACTTGAGCCCAAAGAAGGGAATATTTTCCATTGAGGTCACATCAGATTAGCTTCCCTATTCTTAGGGGACAGTGCCTGCACTGGCAAACTGTTCCAAGCACCTTTGTGTGTGTATTGGGGGCGGGGGTAGACTGCTTGAGTCAAATAAATGGACAGGGACACATCATACATGGCTTTTTTCACAGCAGCTGAAATATACTGAGTTCAGATGCGTAGAAGTGATCAGCTCATAGTTTATTAGTGATTCAGCAAAAGAAAGAAGAAGACTGCAATCCCTGGCCAAAGCCAGGTATTTATGCCTGTAAAGGGTTATACCCCCCAAAAAACCCACTCTCAACGATAGGCTATTTACACTCTATTGTTTCCCAATAGGTTTACTCTAGGATCCTTGTCTCCCTACTGGTCCATTCTAGGATCCTAGCAATCTATTGCTCAGTCCTTTTGCAAGGGCAGTTCAGGCTCAATACATAACACCCCTCCCCCCAAGGTTCAGAGACTCTTCAACTGACAAAGTCCTTTAAGTACACTGGTCGGTACCACTCACGGTTTGAGCAGCGTGGTTCCGCTGATGGGGCTGCGGGTTCAGGAACCATGCCGGGGGCCGGCCCCACTGCCGGACTGGGAGAGGGTGGTGGCGCCGGGACATCCGCTGATGGCCTCCAAAGGCCGTCCGTTGATTTCTGGGTGGGCGCTGCCGGTGGGCATGTTCTCCTCGGGCTCCAGCTCCTCTGGGCTTACAAGCTCCTCGTCACTGCCTTCTGGTATGGGTATCATGGGTTCGGCATTCAGCAGGGAGGAAATGGTTGCGGAGTAGGTCTATGTGTCGACAGGGCCGTCTTCTGTGGACACCTCATATGATAGAGGCCCGGTCACCCTTATAACCTTGGCAGGGATCCAGGCTGGACCACTGGAGAAGTTGGCAGTGGGAGGCAGCTGAGGGCGTCTGCGTGACCCACCGCTTTACCGGACCTGTGGATGAGCGCATACTGGTAGCCGGCCAAGAAGATAGACCATCAGAGTACCCTGGGGGACAGCATCTGTGGGGTCTGGCGATTCGGAGCCAACAGACCCTGGAGGGGTTTGTGGTCTGTCACAATGGTGAAAGGCCACCCGTAGAGGTAGTCATGAAACTTCTTGACACCTGCCACAATTGCCAGTGCCTCTTTGTCAATCTGCCTGTAGTTGCGCTTGGCCAAAGACAAGGTGCGGGAGTAGTAGGCTACAGCGAAGGTCTCAGCCATGGGGACAGCAATCAAAACATTGTTGAAGAACGGCTGGACCCCAGGGATACCTTTAAGGAGACAGTCCATTAGATCTTGAAAGATCCCTGGGGCCACACTGACCCCGCATTCCAGCTGCTGCACCCAGAACGCACCCCTGTGCGTCACGATCGTCTGAGCCTCTGTGGTGGCATTGTCTATGGGGAGCTGTTGGTACGCCTGGGCCAAGTCCAATTTGCTGAAAACCTTCACCCGCCAAGGATGCCAAAACATGGCTGACTACTGGAATGGGATAAGTGTGGTCCTGCAGGGCCTTGTTTATGGTCCCCATTGGGCTTCACTGGGGTGATGATGGGGGTCTCCCAGCGGGCATATGGCACTGGCTCTAAAAACCTCTGCGCTACCAGGCGGTCCAGCTCTCCGTCTATCTTGGGCTGCAACGCAAACGGGACGTGCCTGGCCTTCATACAGATGGGGCATACAGCTGGGTTGAGGTCTAGGGAGACCGGCGGACCAGCGCAGCGACCAAGCGTCCCATCAACAACAGCTGGGAACTCATTGCACACGTTGCTGAAGTTCGTAGGCTGCACATGATGCACCCCCTTCACCTTGAACCCCAGGGGAGCAAACCATGACAGACCCAGTAAACTAGTAAGCCACCCTTCCACCACCAACAAATCTAAAAGTTCTTCTAAGTTCTTATACTGCACATGGAACTTGCCCCACCCTTTAATGGCCACCGGGTTCTTTTGGAAGTCTCTGAGGGTGAAGCCCGTGGGTTCTAGGCAGGGACCGTCTTGTCGGCAGAGCCTCCTGAGAGTCTCTTCTGAGATGATGCAGATGGAGAACCCCATGTCCAACTCCGTTTAGCAAGGGGCCCCCTCTATTAACACAGTTACTTTAATTTTGTTAGGGGTGTCCTGGGGCAAGTGTAGTACCTGGTGTTGGTGGATGGCTGTATTGTGGAGCTCTGCGGTTTGGACAATGGCGGTTTCCTTGGGAACGGCAGGCTCGTGTGGCATTTGTGCTCCTCATCACAGCTGGCGCAAGGTGCTTGAGCAATGGTCTTCACGAGCTGCGGGGCAGTGGCGGATGGTGGGCGCAAGTCCTGGCGAGCCGGGTAGCATACCTAGAGTATTTCTTCCTCGTACAAGGCGTCGGAGACTGGGGATGTGGAGGCCTGATGTGCAGAGTGGGCCTGGCGTTCCCGTTGTGCCTTTTCAAAAGCCGTGGCCATGTGTAGTGCCTTGTCCAGTTTGAGTTCATTGGTACCAATGAGTTTGTGGCGGAGTTTCTGTTTACCGATGCCCCAGACAAACTGTGTTAAGAGGGCGTCCTCGAGATCTGGGAATTCGCAGTTTATGGCCAGCCTGCGGAGATCAGCCATGAAGTTGGTGGGCACTTCACCGGCCTTTTGGTGGCGTGCCAAAAAGTCCATGCGCTTCGCCATCTTGGTTGGCTGAGGCACGAAATGGCCAGTGAGGGCCTTGATGAGTTCATCGTACGCTGCTGCTTCAAGGGTTTTAGGAGCGATGAGGCCCTGGGCTAGTCGTAGCATGGCGATGCCGCATGTGCTGAGCAGGAGTGACTTCTTCTTGTTGGCGTCATCTATGCCTTGGAACCGAACGAAGTACTTCAGCAGCTCTACCCACGCTTCCCAAAACTCAGGGTGAGCGGGGTCGAATGCAAGAATGACTCCCGGAGTGGCAGCCATTACCCGTGGAGCGATGCGAGGCACGGAGTCCTGGAGATCATTGTGCGGTGCGGTGCTGGAGGCTGGGTCAGGCTCGCTCATTGGGATCCCACCTTTGTCGCCAGT